TAAAGCTAAATAGGTTCGAGTCAGTATTTCCTTCCTTGAACTTTCTAATAGCTTCTTTATATCTGTCACTAAAGTCAAGAGTATCTGGGTAACCATAGTCTTCTTTAAGCATTTTTAAGAAATCTTGGTTTCCTTGTTCTCTACTTCTTTTATGTCCTTGCTCTGTTTGTGGAGGTGGTTGTGGTGCAGTGTTTTGAACTGTTGGTTGTGGTGCAGTGTTTTGAACTGTTGGTTTTGGTGCAGGGTTTTGAACTGTTGGTTGTTGTGTTGGTTTTGGTGCAGGGTTTTGAACTGTTGGTTGTTGTGTTGGTTTTGGTGCAGGGTTTTGAACTGTTGGTTGTTGTGTTGGTTTTGGTGCAGGGTTTTGAACTGTTGGTTGTGGTTGTTGTTGTGCAGGGTTTTGAACTGTTGGTTGTTGTGTTGGTTTTGGTGCAGGGTTTTGAACTGTTGGTTGTGGTTGTTGTTGTGCAGGGTTTTGAACTGTTGGTTGTTGTGTTGGTTTTGGTGCAGGGTTTTGAACTGTTGGTTGTTGTGTTGGTTTTGGTGCATGCCTGTGTCTGTGTCCATGTGACGATGTAAATGTTCTAGGTAGTCCTGGTGCAGGTGCTTCTCTTGGAGGGTTTGGTGGTATATAAGTTCCACTAGCTAGTATATAAGTTCCACCAGCTGGTATATAAGTTCCACCAGCTGGCACATATGTTCCATCTGCAGCATAGTGTCCTACCTGACTTTTCGTTTTTAAGAAAGCATTTACTAGGTCTGTTTTGGTCTGTTGTAACTCTTTTTCTTGACTTTCCACAACAGTTGCTTTAACGGCGTCATAGGCACTTTGAACTGCCTGTCTCGTTGCTGCATCTGTTATTTTCGTCAGATTTTGTGCTACTTCTCTTAACTCTTTGTCGAAACCTTCAGACTTCAGTTTCTTTCCAGATGAGAAGTCGTTCACTAGTTTCACCTTACTATGAAGAGCTTCGAAGGCGTTCTTAAAGTCAGCATTCATTAAAGCTTCATTTGAACTGTCTTCATCCGCTTGTATTTTTGTCCTTATTGACCCTATAAGCTGGGCTGCTTTAGCGTTGGCTTGGGCATCTAACCAGTCATTGTTAGCTTTTATATATTCTGCGCTTTTCATTGCCTTTTGCATGGCTGCGTCGTTATTTTTACTTTCTTGTGCTAAGTTTTCATACTGTACGGTTTGGTTTTGCAACTGTAAAAGTTTTTCTGCCTTTACATTTGCTTCAACTTCTTTTTTATACTCATCGCTATCCATATATGTCTTCAGGGCTTTTTGTTTTATCTCTTCATCTTTCAGTACTTTATATTGAGTAGTATGGTTTTTCAAATTTACAACATCTTGTTCCATTTTTGCTACTTCTGCTGCTTTTTCTGACACTTTTTTCGCATATTCCTCTGTACTTAGTTCTTTCAGTTGTTCTTCTTTCTTCTTTTTCTCTACGTTTAACTCATTGAGTTTCTTTGTGTGTCTGTCATATTCTAGTTTCTTTTCGTTTTCACTTATTTGCTTCTGTATGTCTATGTTTGACTTTTTGACATCTGATATTTGATTTTTGAGTGAACTCAAATTCATTTGACTTTGAGGTTATAGACTGTTCCGTCTGCAGCTCCACCATAGCCTGCCATTTTCGCTAAAAGTGCCGCTCTTAAACCTCCACTCTGTGCACCAAAAACTCGGTTTAAAAGCATAGGATTGCTTGACATTTGTTGCAACATAGTGGGGTCATTCAGCATTTGTTGTTGCAACTGTTGTTGTGGTGTCAGTTTTACTATTGGATGTTTCAATGCTCTCTTCCTCTTACGTATATTCTTACGTAGCTTACGTGGCATTTTAAGTGAAGTTAAAAAGCGGTTTTTGACAGATGTTTATATGACACTTTCTCCGGTTTATAGGACCTCTCTCATATTCTATCTTGTCATATCTAAACTCATAGTCATGTATGTCCTAACCATCTCATAACGGTTTCCAAACCACTTTTATCGGATGTAAAGTAAAAGCATGGACAGTTATGTAAAACGTCTAAAGTTTCTAAAGAGTCTCTCAAAGTCCAGTCTACTTAGGTCAGGTTAGTGGGGCCTCCAGGCACTTCGTGCCCTCTAGCCCTGAAGATGTTTAGTATAACTTTGTCCGGACAAGTAAGGGTCTATCGTCGCTACAGGAAAAGTTACAGGCGTTCCAAGGAAGTATACTTTGAGAAGCCTTCTTCTGGGTCGAAAACATTATATAATGTTTCGCTTTTCACAAATTATATATGTTTTCATGTTTTGTCACTTTTCTGTCACTTTTCAGGAAAAAACATTTTTATTATATATAAATGAATTTTACAAAACCACCGTTACAAATCTACAAATGTTAGACCATTCGGTAGTTTCTTAAGTTCTCTCAATAGAATATCTTTACATCTACTCTTATTTCCAAAGAAGGGTAACGGTGGTTTTGTAAAATTCATTTATATATAATAAAAATGTTTTTTCCTGAAAAGTGACAGAAAAGTGACAAAACATGAAAACATATATAATTTGTGAAAAGCGAAACATTATATAATGTTTTCGACCCAGAAGAAGGCTTCTCAAAGTATACTTCCTTGGAACGCCTGTAACTTTTCCTGTAGCGACGATAGACCCTTACTTGTCCGGACAAAGTTATACTAAACATCTTCAGGGCTAGAGGGCACGAAGTGCCTGGAGGCCCCACTAACCTGACCTGTATATATATTTAAAATACACTAAATTTAATTGTTAATTGACGTTTTTGGGAATGAATTTTATCAAAACATGCCTGAATCCGAAAATTTGAAAAAACGAATTACACAATCATATATGTAGAATTCAAAATACAAACTTAAAGATTGTATACGTTTAAAAGTATTCAGATTGTGTTTGATTTCCACTCATTCTGTTTCTTTTGAACTCTAACACTAACATTTCATGATGATTACATGATCCATTTATACATGGTTGAATTGTTCCAGATTCTACCAGAAAATCAATCCAAATTTCTCAATGCATTCATGTTGATTGGACAAAATTTAAAATTTATCAGCCTGTTTCCAGAAAAACTCATATATTCCCTAATGAAATGTAATTTTTGCTACATTTATTTCAATCAAATTTCAAAAAATTGACTGCAGAGCTTGAAAAGGTGATGAATCATGTTGTTATTAGATGTACATATTAGATTTACTATTTCCAAAAAAATGCTCAAATTTGAATAGTTTTTAGAAAATTTGGAATTACACTCCTTACATTATATATAATTAAATGTTTAAATTTTATTTATTTTTTCCTTTTAATTTTATAACGTGCTCTATCAAAACTAACCTCTCAATTGAAGGCCACAAAATCTAAGTAGTGAGGGTACACAAATTTTGTATGGAGTACGGTTCAATTTTTGAGAGCCTCACTACTTAGATTTTGTGACTACCTTATATCAGTAATTGAAAAAGAGCCGCCTGTATTCTCATTACAAATTGATGATAAAGCTTCATCACCACCAGATGAGATGTCATTCGATTCCGGCAAACCCAAATTTTAGCTAAAAGTGACAGGGAAAAAAACGTTTAGTATTAAAAAAAAGACCGATGAGAGCTTCGTTCGAAATATAGAGGGAACTGAGAATGCGCAACCATTCTCAGGGAATATTGGATGCTATTCCCGTTCCCTCTGTATGGAAAATTGAGGTTTTCAAAGGGAGTGAAAATAATATCAAATTTATACTAATTTACTTCAAAATACAAAAGTATTTGACAGCTAAAATTAGTTACTTTAGCAAGCCTATCAATACCCTTTTACGATTATTGTTACTTTTTCGAAATAAAAGTAAAAACAAATTTATACTAATTTACTTCAAAATACAAAAGTATTTGACAGCTAAAATTAGTTACTTTAGCAAGCCTATCAATACCCTTTTACGATTATTGCTACTTTTTCGAAATAAAAGTAAAAACAAATTTATACTAATTTACTTCAAAATACAAAAGTATTTGACAGCTAAAATTAGTTACTTTAGCAAGCCTATCAATACCCTTTTACGATTATTGCTACTTTTTCGAAATAAAATAAATTTATTATCAAAAACCTTTTTTTCTTAGTAAAAATAAACGAAATTTTTTACCTTATGAACTTTTGATGGAAATATGCAAATTTAAAATAATAAAGAAAGCCGCGAGCAAAGCGATCGGCTTAGTTCGAAGATTTTGATTCAAATCTTTGCTGATCTGTAATTCGCGGAAGCCGCGAGCGAATCGAGCGGCTTAGGTCTAAGATTTTGATTCAAATCTTTGCTTATATTCCTTAAATTCTTTATGAAACTCGCAACAGTTCCATAAAAAATTTTAAATTCTAAACTGTCGAAATTACCGATCGGTAATCACACCCTTCACAGGCGTGTCACTTTTTACAGGTGTGTCACTTTTAGCTAAAATTACCCCTACTCATTCGATTCCCTTGATAATTTCCAACTTGAAATTATTCCAATATCGAACGACAATCCTGTAATAGATTATGATTTCCCTTGATATTTGTGTTAGAGCTGTATAAAAATATATGTGTGCAATTTTTTTGTTAAATTTAGATATTTTTTCAGATCTTATTATTCATTATTGATATTATAGGAAAGTTCTATGAAAATATTTGGAATGGTTTCATTTTGTATATCAAATAACATTTGTTCAGATAATTTTTTTTAATTATACTATAATCAGTTTCAAATATTTGGTCAAATAGCTTAAATTGTTTTTTATTCAGCGCAAAAGATGTTTTAGCCCTCAATAAAAATTGTAATAACTATTCGAAAAGTTTTTTATGAACCCTGCTATTGAATATGGATGAATTAATTCAAATCATGCATTTAAAGCTATATTGAACTTATAATACAACAAAGCACGTAAAGATTAAAATTTATATCTAAATCATCCAAATTAATAAAATTAAAACATACAAATTATTTATTCGTGATAGAATATAGTCATGTACAAGTAGCAAAATTAATCATTGAAATGTGTTGTACGATGAAGTAATTGTTCTTCAAAATCTGTGGATTCTGAGTAATGAGCATCTGGATCATTTAATGGTGGTCTAAAAATTGGTGACTGTTTTCCAAAAAGGACGTAAATTGGAGAAATTGAAATTTTAATGATAAAATTCACTATATTTTCTCCTCTAAATATCCACATTGGGTAGTTCTTAAGTTGATCTGGCTCTAAGATTCGTCGACATAATTCATAAGTAAAAGAATTGCAATTATGAAGTAAAACTGAGTAACTTCCATTTTTCCACTCAGGAAGTACTGACATATCTGCTATTATATCTTCAACTTGTTGCGTAGTCTTTTTAATTTTCCCAAATTGAATGATTTTGTAATAGTTTACGTTTTCAAACCCAGCGGTATTTGAATCTTCTGATGAGATATGGTATGATGAAATACCTGTTTCGTTAAAAGCTCCTCCAACTCCATAGCAAATTTCGGTGTTGCCGTTCAAAACAATGCTTGTATGGAAAGCCCCAATGTTAAAATATCTCAGTTTTTCATTTAACGGCATTAGATCATATATTTTTACACCAATTCTAGCCATTGATTATGAATTTTGTGAAAAAAAATTAAAAAAAAAAAGCTTTTCTCATTTCTTGAGCATCAATTCTCTTTCATTCCCTAAAAAATTCGTTATTTATAACTTGACTCTAAATAGAGCATTTTAACTCAAGGAGTTGGCTTCAATTACAAGCAAAATTCAATTAAATTAAACAAAGAAAAAAAAAATAATTTAGAAAAAATAGTAGTTAGATTTATTGTTTTGTATCTTCAACAAATTTCTCACCAACAAATTCATCCATACCGGAGCCTCTTCTGATCGCCTTCATATACATATGTCCAGACATTGTGAGGAGCCTGTGTATTCTTCGTACTTCACAGTTTACGAAAGCCGTCTTTGCTGCTGTTTTGTCCTCTTTCTCCTCTGGCTCGAGAGCTTTTTCGAAGATTTCCTTACCAGCTTCTGCTATAATTGGGAGTTCGTAGACAAACGATGAGTTGAAGAAGTACTCGACTTGGCCGACGTAAGGTGAAATATTCCTCTCTTCGCCATCGCAAACATCAGGCCAAATTCCAATTGTGAATCTAGGTGAATATCCGCGCTCTCTGTTATCTCTGATAACGCGCCTCATCATACAGATGTCTCTGCTTGGGACTGGGTGCTCATCATCGTAGCAGATTGGGGTCATCGGCGAAACGTAAACTCTTATGGGAACGAGTGGCTGTATGAGGTCGAATAATTGTGGATTGATGCCGTGAATACCTTCAATGATGATGATTCCATTTGATTTGAGTTCTAATGTTTCTGTTTCGCTGTCTTTTCCATATCCAGTGATGAAATCAAAGCGTCTGACGGGTATCTTCTCGCCACTGATCAGTTTCTTGATCCTTTCTGCAAGAAGTGAAACTCCTAATATCCTCGAAATCAATGGTTCCGTCTGGAAGGTGATACATTTCTGGACGGTGATGGTAGTAGTCATCGATAGCAATGATAATGTAGTCATATCCTTTCTTTATGAGCCTCTCTTTTAGCGGAATTGATAAAGTTGTCTTTCCTGATGAGGATGGACCGGCAATTCCAATAACACGTTTGTTGGGAAACTGAGAAAGTATGTATGCTTCGATCTTGTCGAGCTGTTCTGCTGAAAGTTTGTCGGTAATTTCTTGAATTTGTGCAAATGGAGTTGTTCTGCAATATTGAGAAATTTGAGCAACAGATTCAACATTAAAATTCTTCCATTGACTGTTGGAGTGGACTAAAAGCTGTTGCTGAAGATCAGCAAGGCGATTTTTTGCAAATTGGGTTGGATCACGAGCTGTGGGAAGCTGGAGAAGGAGTCTCTTGTCGAACGAGTATATCTTGTATTGACCGAGCTCTCTGAAACTGAGAACCATCGGTTCATATACGATATCAATCATTTCGCCGTATTTAGCACAGAGAATTTTCTCTTCATCGATCTTAGATGTATAGTATGCCTTTTCATCTCTTCCTTGTTCATCAAAAATATTGCATAACTGTATGGCATCTATCTGAATAAGCTCAAGTTTGTTGTCAGATGCAATCAATTCGTCAATCTTGGCTTTGATCTGATCTGCAATAGCTTGATCAAGATCACTCCCATCTTTAGCAATGATGTATGAAGAATCTGCAATAAAATGGAGGATTTTTGCCATACTTTCCTGTGATTTGATGGTATAGTCTGCAAAACAGGAAGTTAAAAGTGGCTCGCTTTGCATTAAAAGTTGAGATTGGATTGAGGGCATAAAGTTTTTCATTGCAGCATTTAGTGTATGCTTCGGCAACACTCATCGAAAATTCTGTTCTCTCAAAAATTGAAAGAAATAGATAATTTTGAGAAATTTTGAATATCTGATTGGCCGAATCCGCAATTAATTTTTCATACAATAAATTATTTATCCATTGATTTTTCTTGTTAGTTTTTTACATGAGTTTTTTTAAATAAATTTTATCCAAAAAATATCATATTTTCCTCAAAAATGTATTCCACATAGGTAATATTGTTTGAATCATCAATTCGAATTCAAAATCTAACATTTTTTCTTAATTTCAAAATCAAAAATCATCATTTCTGGCCATTTCAAATAGTATGTCCTCCAAATAATTATGGATACGGTAAGTAACTTTCAAAATAGAAAACATTTTCTTGAAAAACTAAACATTTTGAATGAAGGATTCTTGATGTCTGAAAGGCATAGCGACAATTTTTGTAGTTTAGGAATATGTCATATGAAATTATATATCAGCTTGCTGAAATATTTGCAAAATTATTTCAAAGATTTGAAACAATTAAAAATATTTCAGCTTGCCCCTAATAATAGCTGTTTAGCATTTACAAAGCATCCATAGCGTTATTCATCAAGATCTATGAATCATCAATACTATTTGTGATTTGTTATTGAGGTAATAGGCCTAAAAAAAGTACTGAAACCTAGCCAAAAATTTTCCCAGAATATGTTTGTTTGATCGCAGATGTTCAAATTAACCCAATTTTTTCGATTGAGTTCAAGCAATATCACAGATTTTATTTCTTTTAATAATTTGTCCGTGCCTTATTCAAAAATTTATAAGATTTCAATAGTTTACGCGGAATATATTATAAAAAATCAGAATTAACGGCGACAGTAAAAATAAATGAGCGATTCTCCTCAGCCTTTTACCACGAGGCAAATGTACATTCTCGGAAATGGTAACGAAGAGAGATGCTCATATGACTTTTCACTTCTTGCATTTGAAGATTATACGAAATTCTTTTATGCTCTTCCAAATATTCTGTACAAGAGAGTAAAATCAGTTTGCTTTAATAACACTTTCTACTCTGACTACAGTAGAGATGGTAGGCATAGCAGAAAACGTGAATTATTGATTTTTGATTCAATATTTTATCAAAAACCTAGATATATAAAATATCTCATCAAAATACTAACTCGTGTCCTTCCACAAACCAAAACTCTGGAAGAAATTGAATTTGCCGATATTAAAATAAATCCAGATTTACTGAATAAATTATTTGAAGCAATTGGCAAGTCTCCAAATATAAAATCAATAAAATTTTCAGAAGTACCAATTGGAGATGACCTATTTAAGAAACTCCTAAAGCATCTTTCTCCATATCAAATCGAATCATTAAATATGTTCAACACATCATTGACTCCGAAGAGCCTTCATCTTGTAAATAAATTCATTGAACAAGCAGACGAAGACAAAACTCTTACAAAAACTCTTAAAACTATTGATATCAATCAAGATGATTTCCCAGCAAAGAGGTTAAAGCAAATTAAGTCAAGAAAGATCGATGATGACGAGAAGGATGACTGGGATTCAGAACCACAATGGGCAACAATGCAAAATCCTGTTACTGAAGGAATGACTCTTCCTTCATTAGAAACAACAAAAGATAAATCATCGACTCATACTAGAGAAGAAGTTTCTGGTGAAGAGGAGGAAGAAAATACCAATTCCAATGAAGAAATTAAAAGAACAAACGTTTCTTCCAAATCTGACTCAGAGAATATCAAAAACTCTGATGAAGAACCTGTCTATCACACAGTTTCTACTGATAAAACGCCAACTACTCCTGAAGAAAAGCCAGAAAAAGATTCGGATTCGCATTCACATACAAAAAGCGTCGAATCGCATAATTCACTCGATAATTCACCATCTAAGAATGAAGAACCGCCTAGTAAAGATGAAAGCACTAAAACTCCCACAAAAGATTTCGAATCTCACACTTCGACTTCGACAAACGATCCAGAACGAAACTTGATCATTCACAAGCTCATGGAAGAGACATTTATTGAAGCAAATAGAGCTGTAGAGGATGCTTCTTTACTTGGAAATAAATCAATTACTGCAGAAGGAAACCCAGAGCCTATTTCTATTGAGGAGAGGGCCATCGATCCGATACCAATTGAAAGTAACTCATCAGATATCGATGAAAAGGACCTTTTTGTTGATTCTGAACCACATGACGCCCAAAATTTGAAAGTAACAGACTCAGAGACTAAGGATGAAGAGGAGGAGTATAAAGACTATACAGAGATCATCGACCAATATGAAGATGTTTACACTTTAGTTTCTGAGAAATCTAGTGAAAAGAATTGATTTTTTCCATCGATTTTATTTTAATATTTTTGTTTATTTTAAGCTATGTAAATTATGTCTTTATTATACAGAGTAAAATTCCCTTTGTTTTTGATTGCATTTCAAAAATAATAGTTTCATGATTCACCTTTCTTGAAATATAAAAAAATCTCCGAAATGTTATTGTTTATGTAGAATTGAAAAGATCATAAAATACAAACAAGGTTTATTCTATATCGAAAATAAAATAAATTATCAAATGCAGATAATACTTTGAAATCTGCATTATGAAACTTAGTTAAAAAAGTAAAATTTGGAAGATAAGCAGATATTAATTAAAAATACAAGTCTATCAGGATCAGAAAAACGAAATTAAGCTTCAAAGATGCTCAATTAAAGAAATTAATTATGTCAAAATGTAAGAACGAAACGTATGAATTATAATGATAATAATTCGTACAATGCAATGAGTAAATGATGAATTCTTAAAATGCTATAATAAGATACAACAAGCGGAAGGTCGTTGAACTTGGAGTTGAGATTGTTGTTTTTCAATATTATTTGCGGGCTTTTGAGTTTCTTTTGAAACTGGACTATTTTTCTCTTCAACATATACGTTATTTTGTAATACTGAAGAATTTGGTATTTCTGAAGATTCTTGCTCTTCTTCATTACCTTGATCTTCTTGATCTTCACTATGCTGTTCAATAATCAGCACTTCCGGAATAGGATCTGTAATTTGATCATCTGTAATGCATGAAAATTCGGTTCAATTCATTTTTGACACTTTACATATATCATATTGCAAAAAAGTTTTTAAAATATGATGTATGAATAAGAGTATGATTGAAAAAAAAAAAAAAAAAAGGGAATGGGGCTTCCGGGCACTTCGTGCCCTCTAGCCCCCCACTACTTTTCTGTCACTTTTCAGGAAAAAACATTTTTATTATATATATAAAATGAATTTTACAAAACCACCGTTACCCTTCTTTGGAAATAAGAGTAGATGTAAAGATATTCTATTGAGAGAACTTAAGAAACTACCGAATGGTCTAACATTTGTAGACTTGTTCGGTGGAAGTTTCTATATATCTCATTTGTGCCATACAATATTTCCTGACTCAAAGATTATATGCAATGACTTCGACAACTATATGAACCGTCTCAAACATATACCAGACACAAACAAAATATTGAAAGAGTTAAAAGAAAAGATACCTATAGGTAAGATGGAACGTATACCATTAGATAAGAAAAATACTGTCAGAGAGGTTTTGAAAAAGGCAGAGTATATTGACTGGGATAGTATATCTGCTAGACTATTATATAGTGGTGCTATAAGAGTTCATGACATTGAAACACTTATGTCAAAAGTTTTATATCTTAACTATACAAATGTTTTCAAAGAGAACATAGAAAAATATATTGAGGGTATAGAGTTTGTGAGATGTCATTGGACAGAGTTGTATGAAAAATATAAAGACAAGGAAAATGTTTTCTTTATAGTGGACCCGCCGTTCTATAACACATGGGATTTTCAATACCAAGTAGACTGGACTTTGAGAGACTCTTTAGAAACTTTAGACGTTATACATAACCATCCATGCTTTTACTTTACATCCGATAAAAGTGGTTTGGAAAGTGTCATGAGATGGTTAGAGGACATACATGACTATGAGTTTAGATACGATAAGATAGAATATGAGAGAGGTCCTATAAACTGGAGAAAGTGTCATAACAAAGAAATTTTACTAGTAAGTAAATGTGGTTTGAAATAGGACTACTTGTTTTAGGTTTTTTCCATTGTGTCATTTACTTATTTGACGTGGCAGAAAGATATAGAGAATATGAAGATGAACCAATGCCTGCAAATGTTCAGTATATGTACTCGTAAGAGATATTTTTATCTAATATTAAATGGACGCACAGAACTTAGCGAATGCACAGCAACCTGGACAACCAAACCCAGAGAATATTCCAAATGAAGTTAGAATACAAACTGCAATGGCAAACTATGGTCAAGTGCCAACAGATGTACAAATGCAAACTGCCATGTCAAATGACGCTGCGTTAGGTTTGCCACCATGGTATGCAAATATGAGATGGAAAGAGTTTTATACAAACCCCGAAGTGGGATATAAACAACTCTATGCAGATGACGCGAACACAGGAGTTGACCCAGAGTATGTTTTCTACCAGAGGAGAAATAGAATGTATGAGCTCCAGTTAAAGAATGCTATGGAACTCAGAAGGAAACGTAAGAGACTAGGTGGACATTAGATTTTTACATATAGTAAAATGGGTTTCTTTGGAAGAATAGGAAACTTCTTTCGAAATGTTGGAGAGGTATATGGAATGGAATAAAAACCGTAGGAAGAGGAATTTGGAACGGAGTCAAAAATATTGGCAAAAGAGTAGGTCAGTTCGTTGGTATTATACCTAAAGACCCTGAACCAGAAGAGCAAGCTCCTGTTATACAACAGCCTGAACCTGCACCACAGTCTAGTTGGCAACCAAATCCAACACCTCAACCGTATTAAAAAATCATATTTTTACCGTTCGATAGTAGTTGTATATGAAACTAAGTTCTAAGTAAAACGCGTGGTATAATGGAATTATTCTCTTTCTTCCATCTGTAGTAAACCATACTTGAAAGTCTGAAATACTTCCACTTGGTGGTTCGTATAGCTTTGTAGGTTTTTCGTAAAAGTCATTTGCCAAGCATAAAAAAGAGTTTTGTGCACCAGAAAATGAAGCATGAACTATAATAGCATCTGAGTCGAAAACATCTTTAAATAAATATGGTTCATCTCTTGCATATCGACTGTAAATATTTGCTAAAGGAAGTTCGACTTTCTGATTTAACATTCTTTGCAAATAATACCATGACATTGCAGTGAATTCTGTATATATTTGTTCGTCTTTCTTTGGATTGTCTTCGTAGATTTGAAATGACACTTGTGAATTTTGTTTGTCATATACAATTCTCACATAAAGTGTGCTCTCGGTATTTGCATATTCATCAGCATATTTTGCATAACATGAATTTATTTTATCTTCTATATTTTTTAACGCAGTCTGTAGAGAAGATGAAAGGTCAACTTGTATTAGCTCAATTTCTTCCCACATTTTTCGTTTCCCTTCAGATATATAATCTATATGAAACCTTACAATAAATGGAAAACTTTTATCTTCTACAGACACAAACTTCATTCTACGAAAGCCAATAGCTTTTGTGACAGATGGGTCTCTTAGCCATCTTAATGGGTAGTCAAAACGATAGCCTTCATGCTTTACGGTCTCTGTCTCAAACTTTTGACCGACATTAGTAAAAAGTTCATCTAATGGTTTAGTTGTAGCAACTCTTGAATTTTCTTTTTCTATTGGAAGCATATTTTATCTAGAATAAAAATGTCAAATGAAACAGCGTCTATGAGAGAAATACAACACAACCGACAACTCATTATGCAAGCTCTAAATAAGAACACAACAAACTTTTCAAACTATTCTAAGATATCTGAGTCATTGAAAGAAGGAAACTTAAAACTGACGATAAACCCAATGACAGATGAGTTTCTATTTCAAGACAATAAGAACCATACTGTCTGTGTAAATCCAACAAAAGGAACTTTAAACGAGAAACCTATAAATGAACTTCTTTTGAAAGCAGATGTTGACAACAAAGCTGACAAAGAATATGTAGACGATGCAATAGCAAAAGAAGAAGAAAGAGCTAACAATGCTTATGCAACAAAAGAACATACTCATCCTGAACTAGCAGACAAAACATATGTTGACAATAAAATGTCAAGTGAAGTGACAAGAGCTGAAAACGAATATTCTAAAAAGACTCATACACATTCTATATCTGATATTACAAACTTACAAGAAACCTTAAACAGTAAAAGTGCCGTTGGACATACACATACATCTTCTGAAATAACAGACTTAAACGTTAGCCTTGAAAAGAAAGCAGATAAAACATATGTCAATGAAATATACCAAAGTTTAGTTGGAACAAAAAATATTGAAACTATTGTTGGTGACTTTTCTGTCAATGAAGAAAATAAATATTTTAGATGTGAGTTTGTACACTCCTTAAGAAATGGTATACGGTATAAACTCATTCCGAAAAATAACAATGAAATGTATGTAAGCTATAAAAGAATGATGGTACACAAGTTAAAGTTCCATTAGACAACAACTGCTACTTAAACTTATATGGAGACGAACAAAAGAAATATTTAAGAGTTTATGAAATGACAGATATGACATTGCCTGACCCAGCTCCAGTACCATATTATTATGACTATGTGTTGACGCACGTGTAGACCAAAAAGCAACATTATATTTAGAATATTATAGATATAAAAGATATAATGCAATAGAAAAAACGAGAATAGTATACTATTATGAAGATGACAGAAATAAATATTATAGTCAAGACTTTACCACCCTGAAACATAAGATTATATTATAAAAAATATTCTGACACAAACCAGAAGAAACCTGAAATGGTTGCACTATATTTTAAGTTCAAAAGGACAATCCTATAATATCTCATATGTTTGATTTAATGAACCCAGTAGGTTCTATTTATACATCTATGGAAGCAAGAGGTCCTCAAGTAATGTTTGGTGTTGGTGCATGGGAACAAATAGTCGACAGGTTTTTGTATTGTGCAAACTCTTCAAAGGAAACAGGTGGAAGTAAAACGATTTCAGGTGAAAATTTACCTGCACACAGTCACTACATAATTTAAGTACATCTCAAGCAGGTTGGCATAAGCATAGATATTGGGATTGGTCAGGAATGACAAAAGGTAAAGGATATGATGTTAAAGACGACGTTAAGTTTGCTATAAATTGTTACTGGAGTGACACTCAGGGAGAGGAAACCATACACATCGCGTTTCAGGATATACGCAAACAACGGGACAAAGTAAAGACTACATGCCACCTTACATGACAGTTTACGCATGGTATAGAATTGCTTAGTCGTCATTTTCAACTTCTTTAGCA